AACTACTTTCTGAACAAGATTTCAAAATTTACAAAGAATTCAGTTTCAGACTGAGCTGAGGAAGGAAGATAGAATTAGAAATACATTACTGAATGGATAAGTATAATCTGTTGTGGATGACCATTCTCACTATCACAAAAGGTAGCCGGTGTATATTGTGCACTAGGTGTAATCAACATCTTTGATGATCTACAATAAATTTTCAATTAATGTGATTTCACATTTCTTATGATGTGGCTCTAGGAATCACACCCATGCATAGCAAACTAGTCACTGAAAGTTGCATAATTCTAACATGAGCCTCCTTACAATTTTCCCTAGCTATGGAAATACATGACAAGTGCTCACTTTTCTATTGCAGCACACCCAACATCAGAAACATGATTTTTTTTAAAAATTATAACAGCATACCTGATTTACAAGATACCTGCATGCTTTAGAGCAATACCATGTTACAAATAAAGTGGATTAATTTTGGAACAGGGGTCAAAAACCAGAATAGTTAATTCCAAATCATTGGATTAGCTGAATCTATGGCATTAAAACAGGTTCTTAGAATAGAGTGCATGCACGCTAACTTTGGCAAAATCATTTTTGATATACCTTTATTTCAAAATGGGTTTTTCACATTCATTCTCTATGATATATGCAGGTAGCATTCTAGCCGTAAAAACTTCTTTGCATGTTTTGTAAACAGTACAGAACACCTCTTTGCTACAAAAATGAAAATCCCTCTTAAAAAGGTCCATTCAATTATCAAATTAAGATATTCTCCTAGTACGAGAATCTAAATCAACCCAGTTTATCAAATGAAAAGCCAATGTGCATTCTGGTCAAGTGAAGAAATTTTACTAGTTGGCATAGTCAAAAATATTCGTAAAAAGAAAAACAGTTGTGCTAACTGACACGCAGGAGCATGCACACCAACAGGGATACGACAGAAATATATTTAAACAAAGAGTGACGATATGTAATAATGAAAAAAATTCAGCTTAATAATGTTTGGAAATAATCAGCATCGGGCACATGGAGTCAGCAATGATCACTGGATAGCTAGTCTCAGTAAACATACTGAAAAAAATATGAATTAGGTAGAACCAGATCAAAACATTATCAGAACTCTTCAATGGTGTTGAGGTTTACCAGCAGTTTTATTTCTCTAACCAACTATGGGCAATTGCTTAAATTAATGCTTCCATCATAGCATTATAATAACTGTAGTACTTTGCAAAACAGTGACCACAAATTGTCATCTAACTAAAAAGAATTGAAATATATTTATTCCTATTTAATAAGAGTACTTAAACATTTATTCCGTTAGAACATAATATGCAATGGCTCCTTGGGAGACAGTGATACTAACACATGAAAATAGCAACCTTCACAAGCAAGAAATATGAAAGCCATGTTATATTTTGATTACTACTAAGTCTGTGAGGAACTATCACATCGAATGCTTGAAACTAAAGCCAAGTATTTAAAAAATTAACTGCAGAAGGACAACTGCAGTAAATGAACTTTTCTTGATTTATCTCAGGAACGTACCAAGATATTTTGTTTCTATATAAATGAATCTGTGATAGGGAAACTACTGGAAAAAATTCTGAGGAACAGAATTAATCAAGGAAGTCAGTATGGCTTTGTAAGGAGATCATGTCTAACAGTTTGATTGAATTTTACAAGGTTACTAGGCATGTAGATGAGGGTAGTTCAGTTGGTGTAGTCTGCGTGGACTTCAATAAGGCTCATGGCTGGCTGCTAAGAAGCCAAGGGTCCATGGGGGATCAAAGCAAATGGTCGAATTTGATCTAAAGCTGGCTTAATGGCAGGAAGCAGACAGCAATGGTTGAATGGTACTGTGCGATTGGAAACCTACAACTAGTGACTAGGTCCTTTGCTTTTTAGTACATTAATGTAGGAGGTATGACCAGTAAGTTTGCAGGTGACATGAAAATTGACAGTTGATAAATAACACGGGGAAAAGACAGACTATGGGACAATATAGATGGGCTGGTCAGATGGATTGAACAGTGGCAAATGGAATTTAATGCTGAAAGGTGGGGAGTTTTGGGAAGACTAAGAAGGCAAAGGAGTACCTTAGGAAGTGCAGAGGATCAGAGCTACCTCACTGTATATGTGCATAGGTCCTTGAAGGCAGGACAGGTGGATTAGAAGGAATATGGGATACTTGCCTTTATTAGACAAGTCATGGAGTACAAGATCAAGGAGTTTATGACATGAAGCTGGAAAAGCACAGGTCAGGCAGCATCTGAGGAGCAGGAAAGTCAAAGGGTTTCAGCCCAAAACGTTAACTTTCCTGCTCCTCAGATGCTGCCTGACCGGCTGTGCTTTTCCAGCTTCACATCTATTAACTTTGGCTTCCAGCATTGGCAGTCCTTACTGTCTCCGAGTTTATGATGGAGCTGTATATAGTGTTAATTAGGCCACAGCAGGAGTACTGTGGGGCTTGGTCACCATAGAATAGGAAGGATGTGACTGCATGAGAAAAAAAATGCTGGAGAGATTCAGCAGGGTTTTGCCTAGGCTAGAGCAATTCAGTTAATGAAGAGAGACTAGAGATACTGGGATTACTTTCCTTAGAGCAGAGAAGGCTGAGTTGGGGGGAGGAATCCAAATGAGGTGCACATAGTTGAGGGGCAAAGACAGGGTAGATAGATATTTTTCCTCTTAGTAGAGAGGTCAATAACCAGGGGGCACAGTTTTAAGCTAAGGAGCAGGATGTTTAGAGGGAATTTGAGGAAAATGTTCTCTACCCAGAGGGTTGTGGTTATCTGGAACTCACTGCCCAAACGGGTGGTACAGGCAGGAACCCTCAAGGCATTTAAGCACTATTTAGTTATGCACTCGAAATACCGTAGCATATAAGGCTACAGGCCAAGTGCTAGAAAACAGGATTAGAATAGATGGATATTTGATGACCACCTAGACATGATGGACCAAAAGACTTCTTTCCATGCTGTAAAAATTATGACTATGACATACACGCAGAGAAACTAAAAACAGCTTTGCGAATTGCAGAAAAGAGAATGAAACAGTACAAGACAAGTAGTATTTTAGCCAGTAGATGTGACAGCAGTCAAACACATACTGGAATATGCAGCACAATTTTGTAAAACAAAGGAAACATATCCCAAGATGGTCAAAAGGTAAATGAAGGGGGATTCAGTATCTCAGAGGATCAAAAATAAAATTACCAAACTAATAGATTTTGAAAGCAGATTGTGTCATCAACTAGCTTAAGAATGAGGACATTATAAAATGCAAAAATGTTTGCAAAGGCAAAAAAAAATTCTAATATGTGCAGTAAAAATGAAAGGATTTACACGCATTAATACAAATATGCTTCTGTTGAATCTGAAATGATGGGCACCCAGCTCAGGACTAGTAAAACAATAAACATTTCTACAGTGCCACTGCTAACTTTAATGTCTAAACACTCCACAGCTAATGAAGGACTTCAATAACATCAAAGGACACAGGACAGTGCAGGAAAATGGCAGGGAGGTAGATGCTCAGCTATATTCTAGAATGGTGGAGCAGGCTTGAGAGCTTGAATGGCTTTCTCCTGCTCCATGATCTGATGTGTAGTCATTGTTATAAAAGTAGGAAACATCGCAGTCAACGTGCACAGTGGGGTCCTGCAGACAGCAGTAAGAAAACAACTCAGTCTGAGGATGAACTATGTCCAGGTGAAATCCCTACTTTCACTCAAATGTAACAGTGCTACCAGAGTCAAGGCTGACACTTAAAGCAAAGATGGTTGGCACTGATCACCCCAGATCAATAGGAAATGGAATTTGTTGCTAATAAGTGCCAATAAAGGAAACAAACCTGTATCCAGGAAGAGGTTGTGTAAACACTAACTAAAATATGGAAGCTTACATAAAGGGCAAGTTAAAAATAGTTTAGATTACATTACATTAGAGTGGTACGAGAACCAGAAAAGGTAGTGTGGATTAAGTGATTCCATGTACCAGCTGTTTTTTTTTTGTTATTTGCTGCTTATGAAAATAATTCAGTTTGTGACATGACCTGAAACTTTTAACTTTATAACATGACAATCAATCTTACCTCTATTACAAAATAACCTAATCTCTCAAGGCAACCAACTTCTCCTGTGACTATATATTGCACACCATAAAGGTCACCAAGTAAAATTCAACTGTTACAGTAGGTACAGGGAAAAAAAAACTAGCAGAAGGCACAAGCTCCAAGTTTTATAATATTTTACATTTACAATTTCTAAATAAACTAATTTTGAAAACCAAACATGTTATAAACTGATATTTTAAACCTGGGTCACAGCTTTAATGGTGTATGTTATGATCTTAAATAACAATGCATTGTTAAATTCCCACAAGAAGCAATGTTGAGTCTTATTTTACTGGACGAGGACACGGTTAACCGTGCGGGGGTGGAAGTCAAAATTATGTATTAGATTCAATCACTTGGTACATTGTCGTGCTTCCTTTGCTTCTCGGTCCCCAGATCGAGTCAAGAATCACCGACATGTCGGGCTCACAATTCAGTTATCACTTCTCCCAAACCCTTCAAGCATAAACCGGAGATGTGTATGTGCCCTTAAACAATATGGAGGCACTGCCGCCTGCATGGCCCGCCAAAGCGCGCACTATTGACATTCAGTGGCTGCTCCCTGCATATTTCTCACAACTTTTACAGTTAAACCGTCGAGGTACACCGGTTTTTAAAACAAAAATCAAAATCGCAAAGGGCATCGACAAAATTAAAGTAACGAGAGGGAAGAGAACAAGAGGCCGCCATTTCGCAGCTCCGACCCCCTCCATGCTGAAGAGGCTGGCGTGCCACCATCGCGCAGATGGCAGCTTCCGCACCTTTCGGAATTGTACAAGCAGCATCCGATTTGAAGGGGGCGCCTGGGGATCAGACGCTTGCCTGTTTTGATGGGTTTACTTTCCGTTTGGATTTTCCTTCAGTGCTAAAGGGGGGGGGATCCTCACCTCCACCGCACCGGTTGTATCGGGACATAATAACACACTCACTCTTCCCTCCGCCCGTTCTCCATTAACTGAGAGCGAAACGCGCCCCGCCTCTGTCACTTGCGCATGCGCGCTTAGAACATAGTCACATACGGGCACTCCACAGAATGCGGCGCGAGCGGGCTGAAAGGATTGGAACGGATGACAGTTGGTAATCGAGATCACGTGCGCAGTACGCGCCGAATCTTTGTCGTATCATACATTCTGTGGGATCCATATTGATCACAGTGTTTTCCTTTGAATAATAACAGCTCCAAAATGGCTTCCAATACGCAAAAGAAGCTGCAACGTACGCATCCTAATTCGTTATTTACATCGGACGGAGGAAGTAGGCGGAGTTGATATCGAGCATCGCCGAAGCTCGATTGTGAGCAGGTCTGGAGCCCACTGCGGTTGTAATGCGTTTTGTTTCCTTACTCAAACTTGAACCTTTACCTTTTATCACCCCGGTTCACATTATTTTACAGCCCAGAATTAACTCTTGTAAGCACCAGAAAGTAAAAAGTCAAATGCTTCTTTTAAGTATAAGAAACGGAACATAAACTTTCATTCATACAGCGCGATGTTGCATCTCTGAAATACCTCAAACGTTTTTCTCATTTCGAATATATACTTTATTCATTAAAAATCTTTAGAGACATACATAGTCGCTATAGCACATTTAAGACGAACAACCCCAAGGAACTTCTTACTTTTACAAGACTATATTTACATACATTTAAGGCACTGGGAGGGTCTGATAACTGAATGGACCCCCATTTAACTTTGGCAGAAGGACCTTAAATGGTGATCTTTCCGCACTGCGCCTTGATGGCAGCTACCCTAAGCTTTAGTGCATCCCTCAGCACGTAGTCCTGGACCTTGGAATGTGCCAGTCTGCAACACACTGTGAGGGCAGAGTCCTTGTATATTTAAGCTGAGATAGATTGTGGAATGTGCCAGTCTGCAACACTCATTTGGGTCAACTTCTTGCTCCGGAAGACCAACGAGTTTCGGGCAAACCAAAGAGTGTCTTTCACAGTGTTATTGGTTCTTCAGGTGCAGTAGATATTTGTCTCGGTGAGCATCCCAGGGAACAGACTGCAGAGCACGGAGTGCTGCATCTTGGATCTTTTCAGGACAAACCTTGACAAAAGCCACCACATCCCTCTCCAGACTTTCTTTGCAAAGGCACATTCCAGAAGGAGATGTGTGACAGTCTCTACTCCTCTGCAGCCACTTTGAGGGCAGCGTGCAGTAGCGCAGAGTCTGAGTGTACATGAAGGATCTCACAGGTGTTGCTCTTCTCACCACCAACCGTATGATATCTTGGTGCTTGTTGGAAAGTCCTCAAACCGTTTCACTCAGTTATTGTTAGCTATTTTAGACATGGCAAGATCCCACAGGTGACAATGAGATGGATGAATGGTCAGTTAATCCACTTTCTGGTGGTAGTGACTGGTAGAGAATGAATGGAACTAAACTCCAGAAACGTTTAGAAAACACACAATTTTAACATCTTTTCCAAAGAAGAGCACCTCAGGCAATGCACGACCCCCTCAGTTACTGGCGTTCAGTCTAGACTGTAGTTATTTTTGAATGAACAAAAATAGATGATACTAAATTGCTCGGGTGTTATTAATTGGAAATAGCTCTACAGGTGTCCCGTCATTTGGGGAGATCACTTCTAGTATTCTGCAGAAATGACAAAAAAACAGAGAATTTGCCAGTATACTGAAACTGACAGCAATTTCAGATACCTGCACAGAATAACGTGGAGGTTGCTATCAGTGGATCTGCGTTCCTCCATTGGATGCACTGTAGAGGCAATTTCAATTGAAATCTTGATTTTTTTTTAAAAAATCACTTCTGGGCTGTTGTCTCCCTATAAAATCTCTTGAGAAAATTACACTTGCCCAAAGCTTCAACAGCATGTCTCATGTTATGTACCACCAAGCAACCAACTTTTAATATATTTAAGATGTAAGTAACAAGAAACTGACATTTTGTCAGAGATGTCAACTTTCTATACTTGTTGTTCATGAATAATGCATTGACAGAGCAGCATTTGTTGCTCATACATAATTGTCCTTGAAAGACAATTGTTTTTGGACAAGCTTAGCTCAAAAGGCAAAACGAATCATAGTATGGGAGCAGAATAACATGAAGACTAGGTATGGCACATTCCCTTCCCTGAAGGCAATTAATGAATCACTAAATTGTTCATTTTGATAGGGAGAACAAAAGAACAGAGTATTATTTAAATGGAGAGAAACTGCAGAAAGCTAGAACATAAAGGGACTTGGGGGTACTTGTGTACAAAACACAGAAAGCTAGCATACAGGTGCAGGAGGAAGTGAGGAAAGCTGTTGGAATGTTGGGTCTTATTTCAAGAGGGTTGGAATGTAAGAGTAGGGTAGTCTTACTGCAACTGTACAAGGTGCAGGTGAGACCACATCTGGACTACTGTGCGCAGTTTTGGTCTCGTTATTTATGAAAAGATATAATTTTATTGGAGGCAGTTCATAGAAGGTTCATTAAGATGATCCTGGGTACGGAGGGATTGTCTTATGAATAAAGGCTGATAAGATTGAGACTCTACTCATTGGAGTTATAGGATTCTTAAGGGGTTCACACAGTAAATGCTGAGAGGATGTTTCCTGTCATGGGAGAGTCTAGGACCAGAGGGCATAGTCTCAGAATAAAGTGATGCCAGTTTAAGACTGAGTCGGGAGGGAATTTCTTCTCCTAGAGGGTTGTGAGTCTTTGGAACTCCTTGCCACAGAGAGCTGTGAGGGAAGAGTCCTTGTGTATAATTAAACTGAGATAGATTCTTGATTAGCAGGGGAATCAAGGGTTATGGAGAAAACACAGGAAAGTGGACTCCCAGAATGTCGGATCAGCTATGATTCTGTTGAATGGCAAGCAGGCTCGAGGGGCTGAATGGTCTACTCTTGTTCCTATTTCTTATAGGCTTATAAGGTTTCTGTAACAATTTAGAGTGCCACTGCTCAATATATTTGATACCAGCAAAAATATTACAGATTTATTTACTCTATTTCACAATTTGATTTGGGTTACTGGCCCGATATAATAACTACCAGTGTTGTTGGGTCTTGGTTTTATGAACAAACTGAAAAATGATACCACCGATAAAGTATTCTGTCTATACACTCAAACGTCAGCCAAGATTATGTGATTAAATCCTAAAAGTGGCTTAAACCCATTCTATGATTCAGTGGTAATAGTGCTACTGCTGACTCAAACTCACACGTAATGGAGGTGGGGTTGTGGAAAGCACAGGCAGAAGCTTGGACTTCATGTCATACTGGTAGTTTTTAAAAGTCAGTATACTATACATTATAGAACAAGATATTTTTGGGGGAGGGTGATCCCAGGATTATTCACTTTCTCCAGGGAAGGTTGACTTTTGACACTTTGCTTAATGCATTTTTCAAAATTTTATAATGAAGCATGTGTATTTTATGTTGGCTTACTGTGAAACAGACTAATGAAAAAGCAAATGCTTCTGCATAGATGCTTAAAGACATTTTTGGTAATTCAAAATCACATTACTTGTAGGTAATGAACTAGAAGCTCTTAAGAACCTTTTGTGATAAATCCATTTTTTGCAGTATTAATAACACTGCATTAGATCCATGAAATTATGGTTGGTTTTTTTAATGCAAAGATAAAGCACAACAATCACATCCAGTAACAATGCCCAATTGCACTGGTTCAAAGAAATCTTTTTGTTTGAAACATGCAAATAATTTTGAACTGAAACTTGAACTATAACTTCACTTCGGGAAACTAGCATGGTTTAAATGCCCAGATTGTGGAATGTGCCCAAAGTGAAAACTCTACCTCAATAGTCTCTGATTTGTTTGTTGCTTCATGTGGGAGAATGTACATTTCTGAGCTTTGCCAAAAACAGTAATGGTGGATCGTGTACATTTCCCAAAGTTATGACAGTAACTACACTTCAGAAGTAATTGATTAGCTGTGAATTGCATCAGGACAGCATGAAGATGAAACAATAGTTCCTTCCTAAATCGTGATAAAGTAAGTAACAAACTATTTTCATTTTCTTTCTGGTGTCATAAATATGTTTGAACCGAAAATATTGTTGCTAATGTTAGTACAATATTCCTAACTCCACTTTTTAAATTACTATCTTATCTGCCTGACTGGCAAATAAAGCCATGTTAAAGGAACATATCAAGTGTTCATCTACTAATGTTGACAACATTAATTTCAGGATTTTCATCTCAAAATACATCATTGATAGAATAGTAAAAAAGATGGTTCTTCATTATGACAATTGTCATGTTACCTTATAATCTTCACAATAAAGTCCTTGCCAGTATTGTTTAAATATTATGTGATTTTCCATTTCTTGCTTATGTTCTGAATGGGTAGATTTCTTCTGATTTGATATTAGTGGAAGAGCATGTAAATGATTACTAGTTCATTATTGCTCATTTTGTGCTGCTGCCTCATTTAAATTTCACCCCCAATGTGCACTTCAGTTTTCCATTAGGTCTGATTTGCAAAAGTCAGATTATGTGATGAAGACAGAAAGGAGAGAAATGAATAAGTCATGTGTTGGAGCTGAATGTTGCTTCACTACTAGGGCATCTTGTAATATTACATTTTGCTAAGTTTTGTTGCAGTAAGGTTTTCTTATCATTGTTAGATTTCTGTTTGTGGGACCATGCTACGCTCAAAGTGGTTGCTGTCTTACACTACAATTGTGAAACACTTCAAAAATACTTGATTGTCTGTAAAACTATTTCTGACATCCTGTGGTCATGAAATGTGCTCTGTACGCACAAGCCTCCCTTTTACCTCTTTTTAGTTAAGATGACAGTTTGAAGCTCAGGATTAATATATTTAATGTCTTTTTTCTAGATGAGTAAAGAACTACAAAGCCAACATTTACCCGTCTGAATACTGAATGTGGAAATTAAAGTGGAATTATTCCAATATTGTAACAATTTGAAACGGACCAGCCAGCCTAGTATAAGTTAAATTGTTACCATAAAATAAAAGGACCCAGGAAATTAATAATTTCTTGAACACAAGAGCATAAGGAACAGGAGTAGGTCATTCAACACATAAACCCTGCTCTGCTATTCAAGAGGATCAAGTCTGATCTGATTGTGCCCTTACATCCACTTTACTCTCTGCTCCCAATAACCTTCAACTTTCCTGCAGATAAAAAAAAGTCTCACTCAGCTTTCAATACATTCATTGATCCAGCCTCAAATGCTCTCAGTGGAAACAAATTCCAAAGATCAACAATCCTCTCAGAGAAAAAAAATTCTTCCTGATTTCAGTCTTAAATGAGAGACAACCTATTTTTAAATAGTGCTTCCTAGTTCTAGATTCCCACACATGGGAAAGTATCCTCTCACTATCTACTTGTCAAGCTCCTTCAACATCTTGTGTATTTCAATAGGATCACCTCTCATTCTTGTAAATGAGTATAGACTCATAGATGTTTACAGCATTGAAGGGCCCAGCACATACTTCCCTTGTAAACAAGTCTTCCTCAACCCAGGAATCCATCTAGTAAATCTACATTGAACTGCTTCTAAGACAAGTATATCCTTCCTTATGTAAAGAACTCAAAACTAAGTACATCCTTACAATTCCCTGTTGGTTGTCCCAAGACTTACTTTTGTACTCCATTTTCTTGCAAAAAGGTCCAACATTCCATTTGCCTCTCTAATTACATGCTGTACCTGCAAGCTAACTTGTTGTGATTTTTATTCTCAAGAACACCCAAATCCTTCTGCGCTATGACAGAAAAATTGATCAATACTTGGAATTGATCTCCACATAGAATGGTGCAGATTGAAACCTTCACTTTAAGTGACAGATGCATCAAATGGAGAAGCATATGATCATTTTGGATGAATGAATTTTGACTGAATGGTATTTCTAACCTATAAATGCGTTGTGATCTTATGAGCGGCAGTGCTTGAACTGTTATATAATGCATCTTTTCAAATTTCTTGAATAAAGCTTTTTTTGTAACAAAATCATCTACAGAAATCTCTGTTGGAATTACTTTAACTCAGAGTTCACTTTATAAGTGTCCTTTTGCAGTGTTTCAATATCTGTTCGTTGAATTTGTATTGCCATAGTTACATGGATGCAAAAAAAGGACCAATGAAATAATTCTACATCTCCTCCACCAGGTGGCGTTTAAAGGCCTGAGTAATCAGGCCTTAAACCTACTAAATAGGAGAACGAAGGAGTCAAAACAGTTTCACTTGATCCGCACTTTTCTGCTAATCTGTATGGTTAATTGGGGTCATTTACAAACTGAGAATTGGTCTGTTATCACGAGGCTGATGAATTTCAGAAGCTAATCGTCTTCCTTTCTCGAGCAGAGATTTACTGCTACAACTACAACAGGAGGAAAACTTTTTTTTCATTAACATTTGATTTTGATTTAACAAGCAAGAAGAATCTGGGAGAACAGTGAGAGATTTCGCTTTGGTGTTACCTTTTCTGCAACAGGTTGTCACTTCTTGTGCTTTTTTATTCCTCAAAATACTTCAGACAAAAGCTGTATTAACAGTTTGAGAAATCTGTCTGTTAAAGTTGCAGTATTAATCCAGTACTGTTTGTGAGAAAATATTTGGCATTGAATATTTTTAAAATGGGGAAATTCCTGTCAAAGATTTTTGGAAACAAAGAAATGCGAATTCTGATGCTGGGCCTGGATGCAGCTGGAAAGACTACAGTGCTATATAAGCTCAAATTGGGACAGCCTGTCAGTACAACTCCAACTGTAGGCTTTAATGTGGAGACTGTGACTTACAAAAATGTTCGGTTCAACGTCTGGGATGTAGGTGGTCAGGATAAGATCAGACCTCTTTGGAGGCACTATTATACAGGGACCCAGGGATTGATCTTTGTGGTGGACTGTGCCGACAGAGACCGCATTAATGAAGCCAGGCAAGAGCTTTATCGCATCATAAATGACAGAGAAATGCGCAATGCTATTATTCTGATCTTTGCAAACAAGCAAGACCTGCCTAATGCCATGAAACCCATTGAGCTCCAGGAGAAACTGGGTCTGAATAGGATTCAAGATCGTAACTGGTATGTTCAGCCTTCCTCAGCAACCACTGGAGATGGACTGTATGAAGGGCTAACCTGGCTGACTTCTAATTACAAAACATCTTGAGAACAAAATTAAAACTTCAGAGATGCTGCATATGAACTCCATACTCGTTGTCTTCACTTTGCAACAGCGTGGAACTGATTCAAAGAAAAGTTGCTTTTAACATTATAGGAGGAATGGCTATACCAGTATAAGAGCAACTTGGCACTTGGTAAAGATTTGCTTATAGCAACATTATTATCACAGTTAGCTTTTATTATATGGTAGCTTTGATGTGTCAGATTGACTAAAGGTCAGATTTTTGTTTTCAGTGTTGATCTATTAGCAGAATCTGTATTGATACCTGGCAGTTCAGTGACAGTGTGTGTGCTACATTTAATGGATAATCTGTAAGAAAAAGTATTAAATTTACATTAGAAGACTGTTAGTGTTTGTAAAGAACTTTAGAAGTTTGCAAAAAAGCAACAATGTATAGTTGTTTTTATTCTCCAATGTTGCTGAACATTTAAGCATCATATGTGCTAAATGTTTACTTCAGTAATAACATACTACAGTAACAAATATCATGTTTATTTTGGAATGCATGAAAATCCTTAAAGCTACATTACAAAAAATTTTTCAGGTTTTGAAATGCAGATTTAATGTCATTGGTTTCTGAGAATGAAAGAAGTACAAGTCCTTATAAAGTAAACATTAGAAGTTTACTGACACTGGTATGGAAACAGAAACAATATGCTGTGGTAATATTATTGTTTTACTATACTTAAAAGTGTGAAATATCAAAGAAATATTAGAGTGGATATATTTATTTTGATAATTTGTTCATGAATATTCTCTGTGATTCATAAAATAATGTGAAATCCTACCAGTAATAAAGTGGGAGATTGCACAATTGGGAACAAAATTAATGTACCTCATGACTGAAACTCCTCTATCACTGAGTTGCCTCACAATTGATTGTATGAACAGTGCATTTGATACCATCAATAGAGAATGGACTTGAGCAATTACTGAGTCTGAATGCAAGTCGTTATAAGAACAAAAGGAAACACTGGAATTTAACCAGATTCTGTTACAAAATTGAGAATTTGGATTTACCTAGAACTTTGTGTATGGCTTATGAATGCAACTTTTGTATGCTTTAAACTCAGCTGAGCTGCATTTTTCTATAATAGTAATGACATAACAACCTCATTTTTCATTGTATCACATTTGTTTGTTTCAAATTTGAGTTTGACTTATGCATTGTTACCAGTTGCCATGTTACAGCTGAATGACCACACTGTAATTTATTTAACTCTATTTATTGGCTACAAGGAAATATTAGTTACAGGAGACCTTTAGTACTGGTGCTTCACAAAATACTTTGCTCTATTTGTATAAAGTATTATTTTTGTTTTAGCATTTGAACATTAATACAAAGTTACATATGGTGACAATGTGCAGGATCAATATCCAACTCTACTAAGGTCCTAATTTCAGCTTTGTCACTGTAGGAAGGCACTACAAAGAAGGCAAAAAATGTTGGAAAATTAAAAGAAGCGTTGTGCCTTGGTAGCTCTTGCTAGCCTCTTGGCAGTTGAGTCAGAGTTAAATGAGCTTCTAAAAAACTGGAAGTAAATCTCCCACCTGCCATTACAGTGCCAAGTACTGCTGGTTAGAGAGCAGGGATGGAGAAAATTTAATTATGTGTTTTGAAAAATAAAGCTTTGATACATTTTTATAGTACATTCTTGTTGGCTAGCTATCAAAGTACAATTGTTTCCATTTCCAAGTAGGTTTTGAGATGTCAGATCAAATCTGGAATTTCTTCGGACCAATTTTGTCTTGAAATCTTAATTACAAGTTATTGGTTCTTTTAAATTTTTGTTAGGCAAAGACCCTGAATCTTTTGATAAACAAAATAATGCTACCCAATAACATGGATCATAAATCCACTGAACTAAAAACAGAAAATGCTGGAAATACTGTAGTCAGTCAGGTAGTATTTGATGACAGAGAAGCAGAGTTAACATTTCAGGTTGATACCGTTCCACAAAAACCGAAGATGGCACAGATTTAACAGCTTCCAAGAAAATTCAAATAAAGGTCTAAAAGGAAGAAAGGGAGAGGGACGAGGGTTCTGCGGTGATAGTGGTAGGGGATATATACAAAGGTAAAGAAGGTCTATGTTGGAATGGTGGGGTAAGAATGATTAGAGTAGGCAGTTGGACCCTTTGAGCACGCTCCGCTATTCAATAAGATCATGACTGAATTCAATACTCATGTACACTTTCCTACCATTTTCCCTCAAAAGATCAAAGGAATGATGGTAATAATGCAAGTAAATAATCAAAAGATTGATCAAGAGTAATTGTAAATGGTAACAGCAGAAACATTATCAGTACCTGCTGTCTGAAAAGAAATGATGGCAGAAGTTGTGATTTAAAGCTATTGAAATCAGTGTTGAGTCTGGAGGGTTGCAAAGTGCTCAGTCATAGATGAGATACTGTTCCTTTTTTCGTTGGAATGTCTAAGAGTCTGTCTCAATTATAACAGCATAGGGACCAAGGACAGAGAGGTCAGAGTAGGAGTGAACTTGTCAATAATATCTCAGTCTGTGCACTATTTGCCATTAGAGTCATTGTGGTCAGATTGATAACCAGTGCTGATAATTGATTTTTTTAAGTGCTTGTTTAAAACAAATTAAGAATAAGTTATTAGCAGGAAGGATGGACTTGGAAATATTGTAAATTCTTAGCTTCAATTGGGAAATCATGGCACATTAGGAATATTTATTTTTGAGCAAGAGTGGTGATATGACTTTGTATATGATGAATGTTTGGTGTTAAACAGCAATAAATGAGTTTCCTCAAGATAATTTTAGTTAGAGCATCTAGATAGGCACTAAATAGAGGTTGCTTACCTAACAAGAATTCCAACTGGAACAATTTTAATTCAAATTAATGTGGTCCAGAAACAGATTGTGCCTCTATTGTCTTAAACAAAAAGTGAAATTTGCTGTGGATAGGAAAGCTTCAGCATCTTTAGGAGAAACAAGATATTAAACATACAGATTATAGTAAAAGGCAAAATTCTAGATTCATAAAAATTTCATTTATTTGACATATTAACATTTTCCCCTATGATAACTGCTCATTATTTGTGTTTCTAATGTTGAGAATTTTCACAGCAGAATTTAGAAGAGGTCTCCTAATGTTTATTTAGCCACATGAGGTTTTATTAGCATTTTTGCACCAAAATATGGAACAAGCCTATGATTCATTCTGGGCGTCTCTGGCAAACTAGGTTAGGATTTGGCCTTTCATTCTTGGACCTGAAATCAATTCCAGCCCAGACTAATGGGCAAATATCTCTCCTGACAACTAGCTGTAAACTGAATTCTATGAAATGAATTTGGAGTGGTCTCAGTCCAACTTTAGAGATAGAAGCTGTAAAAATATCACACGGATACGAATGGTATGTTTTACTGAGGTCAGCAAAAGATAACTTGACCATGTTACCATATTATATCTGGGATTATTTGCTAAAATTGGAGTCTGAAATACAAAATGCTCCACGTCCCAGCACCAATATTCTTCACTGTGATGGCCACAAAATGCAAATAAAATTAATCTTTTTCATTAAGATATTCAAAGTAAATGTTACAACTGTGGCTCTTGTTGTTCTCAGTTTGCAGAGTAACTAATTTTCTAAATAATAAGAATATTTAAAAAGCTATATGATTAAAAAGGTCATTGACACTTTTAAGGGATTTTTGGGCAGATCAATAACAACAGCATGGCAAATACTAGTCACCATTTTTGCTAGCATGAAAAGTGCTTTAAGTTCAAACGTGACATCTGTTTCAGTGTCAGTCTTTATAATGTGATTTTAACGTTTTGTCTTCATATTTGTTTAAAGTTTTTTTTTAAGTGAAATAATTAGCAGGACTGACATAATTACATCTAATTGCATTTCCTCTGTTTACTTACTAAAGGAAATACATTACCATAGCAACAGTGATATTTTTGAAATTGCTATTCTGAAGATTTTCCCTGTTATATGTTGTCCAGACAGCAACCTTTTTGGTCAAGTTTAATCTGAAAATAGTGATCTGTCCACATATAATTTTATACACCAGGCCATCAATAAATAGTTTAGTTTTTTCTTTGAATAAATAATGATAAAATATAGTAAAACTGCAATTAAGGAAAACTCATAATTATTTTCCCTTTTGATGTCCCTCGGAAAAATTCGCTAGCTGTACTTGTGTTGCATTAAGCCTTACCACTCAGAAGCTTCATGGTTAGATTTCCAGTTTGTAAAATTAGCTGATGCAATATTTGTCATGCTAAATTGGGCTGTGACTCTGGGCTGGGGGTTTCAAATCAAAGTAAGGGATTGTTTTTCTCATTGCTTGTTGAATTTCATGTATGTTCCTTGTGTACAGATAATTAATGAGGACTGTAAAACATGGGAACACAACTGGACAATTCAGTGAGATCATGGCTGATCTGATGGTCTTCAACTTCACTTTCGTGCCTTTACCCTATAAGCTTTGATTCCCTTATTGTTGAAAAATCTGTCTACTTCAGCCTTCAATATATTTAATGATCCAGCCTTGACAGTGTCTATGGCAAAGAATTCCACAGATTCAATACTTTTTGAGAGAAGAAATTCATCCTTATCTCTGTTTAAATGTGCAACCCCTTATCCTGGGATTATGTTGTCTGATCCTAGACTCTCCCACAAGGGGAAACCTTCACCTCTCCACCTCTATCCTGTCAAGTCCCCTAAGAATCTTATGTGTTCAATGAGGCCACGTCTCATTCTTTTAAATTCCAATGAGTACAGGCCCTCTTTACCTGGTATCAGTCAAGCGAACCTTCTCTGGACTACCTCCAATGCCAGTATATCTTTTCTTTGATAAGGGACCCAAACTGTTCATGATATTCCAGCTGTGGTCTGACTAGTGCCTTATGTAGATATAACAAAATGTCCCTACTTTTATACTCTATTCCCTTTGAAACAAAGGCCAACGTTTCATTTGCCTTTCCAAATACCTGCTGAACTTGGATGCTAGCATTTTGTAATTCATGGACGAGGACTCCAAAATCCCTCTATTCTGTAGCTTCCTGCAGTCTTTCTCCATTTAAGTAATATTCAGGTCCTCTATTCTCCCTGCCAAAGAGCATGACCTCATATTTTTCCACATTATATACCATCTATCACCTTTTCCCCACCTATCTATATTCTTCTGTATTCTCACCTTGCCTTCCTACCTATTTTGTGTCATCCACAAACCTGGCAATAGTACATTCACTTTGCTTGTACAAGTCATTAACAAATATTGTAAATAATGGGGGCCCCAGTACAGATCCCTGTGGCACTCTACTGGTTACGGGTTGCCATCCTGGAAATGCCCTTATCCCAACTTGTCTTCTACTAGTTAACCAATTCTCTATTCATGCTAATATACTATCCCCAACATTTTTGGACCTTATCTAAATGAGTAGCCTAATGTGTGGCTGCCTTCTGAAATTCCAAATATGTTACATTCACTGCTTCCCCTTTATCTATCCTGTTTGTTACCCCCTCAAAGAACTCTCGTAAATTTATTAGACATGATTTCCCCTTCATGAAGCCATACTGACTCTGCTTTATAACATTATGTCATTCTAAATTCTCTGCTCTTACATCCTTTAGCATAGATTCCAACATTTTCCAAATAACAGACGTTAAGCCAACTGGACTATAGTTACCTGTTTATTGTCTCATTCCTTTTCAAATAAAGGTGTTACATTTGGCAATTTTCCAATCCTCTGAGACTTCTCTGGAACCTAAGAATTCTTGTAGGATTATGACCAGTGAATCCACTACATGTATAGCTGCAGATAGTGGATGCGCAGGGGGAGACGATGGCCTTGTGGTGTTATCACCAGACTGTTAATCCAGAGACCCAGATAACGTTCTGGGGACCCGGGTTCAAATGCTGCCATGGCAGATGGTGGAATTTGAATTCAATAAATATCTTGAATTAAGAATCTGAGTTGATTGTCATAAAAACCCATCTGGTTCACTAATGCCCCTGAGCGAGGGAAAATATCATCTTTACCTGGTCTGGCCTACATATGACTCCAGACCCACAGCAATGTGGTTGACTCTTAACTGCCCACTGGGCAATAAATGCTGCCTAGCCAAAGACACCCTCATCCTGTGAATGAATTAAAAAAGAACTTCCTTTAACTTCCTAGGATGCATCCCATCAGGTCCACAGGACTTAACGGTTTTTAGACACTCAGTTTTCCTAGCATGTTTGCCCTAGTGATAGTTATTGCATTTATTTCCTCTCTTCCTTTGCCCCTTGGTCATATAGTAATGACCAAGTGCTATTAATGTCTTCTACTTTGAAGACTGATGCAAAGAATTTATGGTTCCCCATTATTATTTCCCTTGCATTGTTCTCTAAGAGGCATATGTTGACTTCTCTCTTCCTTTTGACATATTTAAAGATACTCTTGTTTTTTGCAGTATTACTTGCAAGTTTCCCCTCAAAGTTTACCTCCTGCCTTTTTATTATTTTTGGTCGTCTTTAGTTGATTTTTAAAATATTCCACATCCTTAGCTAACAACTAATCTTTGCTACATTGTAGGTTTCTTTTCTCTCTATCTGATGCTATTCTTAATGTCCTTGGTTAACCATGGTTGGTTTATCCCCTTCCTAGGATCCTCCTTCCTCATTGGAA